TTTCGATGGGGATTTTTGCGTTACGAGTAATAAGTAATTTATTTCTAAGATCGATATTAGAACCCCATATGTCTAGTAAATCAAACCCTATCAGTCCGTCGAAGTAATTATGAAATCTATAAATGAACAAGGTTATATTATCTCGTTCATTAAATTCTAAAGGGCATGGGAGAGTTATAGAATAATCGTTTTTACTTGTCGCGTGAACATTGGTGACTTCGAATGGGTCATAATTCAGTGGAATATGGCTAAAATATTTTCTTACAGCTTCGGGACTAATAAACGATTGGTTTGCGCCGGTGTCTATTAAGAATTTCAGTGGGGGATTACTTGTCTGAATGTAACCGAGTTGCCTTTGTATGTGGAAATTTATTTCTATTTTTGTTTTTCTGGTTTGGGGCACTTCCGAAAATCCTCATCATTAGTCGGGGTGAAATTAGTCTCTACTTCCTCTACGATAGGAGCTTCCGCGTGGTTATACGGTGGCTCGTATCCATAGTTAGGATATTGTTCGTAAGTACAGTACTCTTGATTATAGTTATAGTCAGGATAGTCGTATTCATAGTACGCGTCGGTGCTATAGTCGTAGTCAAAATCCGTCTCGTTAAAGTTTACCTCCCGTGTTTTAAAGTAATTGCTCGGCGGTGGGTTGCCAAATCGTCTCCAGTCATGTCCAGTCGGTGGTAAGGGTTTCGGAACAAAGGGAGTGACACCGCTCATAGGAGAAGGGCGCGAATTATTATTTAAATTGAAGCCCTGTGGTTGCTGAGGTCTGTTAGGAAGCTTAAACACATTACTCTGGGGGTTATAATTTGGTGGAGGAGCACGCATCATCTGTTGCGTACGAGTGGGTCCGCGTGGTACATGCATCTGGGGTGGTAGATTGGGCCTCCAACCCTGTGCAGCATGCGGTTGCATAGGTGGCTGTCTAAACGAGTTCAGTATATTATTACCCTGTGGTCTAGGTAGTGACGGCATGTTAAATGTGGTAGGTTTTGGAACGAAATGATTTAATGGTAGTTTAGAGCTAGGGGTAGATTGAGTCCATTCTTTCCTGTTCTGGCTGCCTTCATTTCGTTGTTGGAGGTAAAGGGTGTTTAATTCCTCCTGTACGAATTCAAGTGCTTTCTCCATACTTTCGGGACGCATACATCTTATTCTAGACCCTAGGGGGTCTTTTAATCCGCGTAAATAAGCTTGCAAGGTCAGTTTTTTATAGAGTGCGCGCTTAGCTTCAATTGTCGTACTAATGGTTTCATGTAAAGTGACATAGGTCATTATTGTACTAAATAAACTTTGGACTCGCTCGTAAAATTCTTGCGGGGTACTAGACCCTTGGGTTTGTAGTGATAAATCACTGTATAATGCGGTTTCGTCGCGATGGTCGGCGAAGTTATTTATAAGAGCGCTTTTGATGCCGGCCCAGGTTTCGGGTATTCCATTCGAATTTATTAGCCTAGCCGCGGATCCCGTTATTTTATTTAAAATCCCGTTAATAAGAGAAAGATTGGCTAGTTCGTATCCGGGCTCATTTCTTACGTGGGCTAACACAAGTTGATCGCACAGGTTAATAAAGCGCGTAAGGATGTACGGGTTACCGTCAAATTCGGGCAAAACTCTAAGTGACTTATAAATTAGGTCTATTTCATTTGATTGGGCCATACTATCGGTCTCTAAACCTCTGTTCTCGTCTATAATACTAAGCTTAGAAATCCTACTACTATCTAACCTAACGTTCCGTGTTCCCCTTGGATGGAAAATTTTGGAAGCTTTATACTAACACAGTTAAAATGCAATAAAATACAATAGAAAAAAAAGGTGTATATAAAATTAGGATAGAGTAAAAAATTAATTACGGAACTAGGAAGGGTAAGGATTGAAAGATTCAAGCACTTACAGCATTACTTCTTCTTGCGGAATCAATGCCTGGATTCGCCTCTGGACTGGTGCTCCCGTAGGTTCTGTATCTTCTTGGTCACTCTTGATTCACTGACTCTACTTTAGAAGATCCTACCGACTGCGCCAATTATGTGGGCTCCAGCCAGAGGTTGCAAAAAAAAGCAATCTTTATTTAATATATATTTAATTTAAAGTAATTATTACAATTAATTCTTATAACTAAGTGAGGTGACTCTAATTCGATGTTTGAATGTAGAATGGATTCACACGGTAAAATATTAGATCCAGGTAATATAAGACAGTAGACACGTTATGCTGACACGGCGCCTCGTGATCGTCGTAAGCCGATGCAACGCAGCAGATTGCCTGGATTAGGGCTGCGTAACATACATATACATATATACATACATAATATACACAAATAATAAATAAATATATTGTAAGAAAATATAATATAATACAAGATACATAAAGATGCTTTATATACTGATGAAACTAATATACAGAGATTACAACTATAATGATGACGGAACTTAGCAGTTGTAAAGCAATTTTAGAAAATAATCTCGAACATTCTTCTTAAATGTTTGTTTGCAGGTTGTCTTAGCAGGTCATTCCATAGGTGCGCAGCTTAGACAGCAAACGATGAATATATGAAACTCAAATGGTGAAAGTTTATAAAGAGAGCAAGAGTCTCCGATGAAGGAAGCTGTCTTTCATGAGTGTCCCGCAGAAAGCGAAAATTATGTTTCAGATAATTTGGGTAGTGGTTATTGAATAAAATAGAAAAAACTGTGATAAGTGTCCTAATGTGTCTGATACATGATCAAACTTGCAAAGACGAAAAATTAAACGGACACAGTTATTGAGGAGACGATCCTCCTTATCAAGGAAAACCTAATTTTGATCAGAAAAACATATATCAGCATAGTCAACAATAGGCAATATAAGAGATTGCACAAGTATTATCTTTACGTTGACCGGAAGAAAGTTCCTGAGACGGTCAAAACACTGAGCTTAGCAAAAATAGAACCACTGATATTCTGAATTTGGGTAGACCAACTTGAGGTTGTGTCAAAGTAGATACCCAGATTTTAACGCTGTCAGAATACGATATGATAGAATTATCAAACGTGACAAGTGGAACGGAATGGACGTCAAGCTTACATAATTGTTGAGCACTACCAATTATTATAGTTTGACATTTATTGGGGTTCACACTAATACCAAACTTACGAGACCAACTGTAGAGATTTGTCAAATCGATATTGAGTCTGGCAATAGCGTCACATAAAGAGTTGACATCTGCTTGAATATATATTTGTAAAGATGGTAAGAGCGGCTAAGTTGAGAAGAGAGAAAGTTAATAAAAATGGAGAACAGAAGTGGAGATAATATTCCACCTTGTGGCACGCCATCGGTGAGTTGACACCAGTCAGATATTTCACGACCATTAATGACAGCTTGCTGACGGCCACAAAGGAAGGAAGAAAGGCAGTATACAGCAGTAGACGAAAATTTGAGATTTTGAAGTATAGCAAGGAGCATATCATTGTTAAACATGTGGAACGCGTTTGTAAAATCAATCAATACAAGTACTGTGTGACTTTTCTATTTTTCATGCCCTCCCGAATATCATCTTTAACTTTGAGAAGTGCAATGGTCGTGCTGTGTCCAGGCCGAAGGCCAGGTTGAAACTGAGATAGCAAGTTATTTCTACAAATAAAGGCATACAATTGTTGGTGAACTATAGTTTCAAGAAGTTTTGATAGAAAGGGTAAGATAGAAATAGGTCTATAGTTGTTGAGTTGAGTGGTGTTTGCAATATTGGGAAGAGAAATAATATAAGCTTTACGCCATGAATCAGGAAAGACCCCAGACAACAGTGAGAAATTGATTATGTGAGTTAAAATTGAGTGCCTTCTGTACAGTCGCCGCGAGATGTGATAGCGCTAATGTGTCAACACAAGTAGCATCCCATACTAAGGAGCGCCCATTTTTCCATGGAATAAGCGTCATTCCATCAGCTCCCTTTCCATATACATATAGTTTCCAGTGTAGAACTTCCAACTTTCTTGTCTGCAGTTCATAGTACGTCAGACCTCATAGGAACAGTTATTAACCCATTACTCGATGATGTAGAGGTCTCCTTCTTGGCTGAGGCTAAGGAAGGCTGGAGCAATAAGACAGGACTGGACCAGGTTTTTTCTACAAACTCAGCTTCGCAGAGGCTTGGGATGAGCCGCTCAGTATTCAGGTTCATAAAAACCTTTTAGAAAACTGGGAAAACCCTACACAGTGAGCTCGTCTCCTAGCATCTGAGTCGGGCTACTCGATGAATTCACTGCCTTTGTCAAATATCGGAACACTCTTGGATAGTACTACTTTCTCTCTTTTTTTTTTTTTTTTTTTTTTATATAGGAGAGGGGGCAAACGAGCATGCGGCTCACCTGATGGTAAGTGACTACCGCCGCCCATGAACAACCGCAACACCAGGGGAATTGCAGATGCGTTGCCGGCCTTTTAAAAAGGAGTAGGCTCTTTTCTTGAAGGTCTATCAGGTTGAGATTAGGTTTAAAAACTAATGAGCTCCATCGCTGCCGGTGTGGTAAAGAGGTCGATATTTTTGGACACCACGGCCTCGCGTACCAGCGGAGCACTGGTCGCATCCCTCGCCATGCAGTGATTAATAACGTCATTCAACGGGCCTTAACCAGTGCCAGCGTACCTTGAAGAAATTGAACTTTTTAATTTCAGAAATTTAATAAGTAAAAGTCATCGATATTTTATCTTCGTTAAATCATTGATTTCGCATTAGAATCATTTAAAATATTAATACAAACATATAGTTAAACATATCGGCTAACTATTCCAGGCATTTGTTGGGAGTAAGCGGGCGAGAAAGTAAGTGCTTTCTTCATCGACACAGCGGACCTGTTTCCTGCTACCGTGCCGTGTTACACCGTGTCGCTGCGCCTGCGGCCGGCCGGTACAAAGGTCAGATCGGCGGCCAAGTGACCGGCGCATTGTTTACGAGGTTGGATTCACTTCATATTTTATTTACAAGTTAATACTTGTTTGCTAGTTATTTCGCCCACATTATGTCCGACTTAAAAGAACTAATAAAACAGAGGGGTAACATTCGCGGCCGAATAACAATATTCGAAAAGTATTTGACGCCATTAACGTTAATTAATAGTAAGTCTGAGCGCAACAAATAAATAAATAATGAATTAAATTTGAGATTAACAAAATTACAAGAATTATCGTACAGTTTCGATGAAATTCAAAGCAAAATTGAACAATTAGATCCCGATATATCGAAACAGTTGGAAGAACGGGAGGTAACCGAAAACCAGTTCTTTTATTTGATTGCTCAAGCTCAAGAGTTTTTAGATGCATACACAGATAGTAAAAATAAACATAGGGATGATGTTTCATGTCGTGGTAGTACTACATCTGTTACAAATCATAATATAAAACTGCCACCGTTGAAAATTCCTCCCTTTTCTGGCGATTCAAATACTTGGCTTCAGTTTCGAGACATGTACTTGTCTTTGATACACAATAATGAAAAAATAGATGAAATCAGCAAGTTTCATTATTTAAAATCATATCTGGAGGGACCCGCTCTGTCAGTGATTAACTCTGTCACTGTTTCAGCCGATAACTATGAAATCGCTTGGGCGTTGCTCTGCGATAGATATAATAACAAGCGTCTTTTAATAAACGAGCATGTTAAATGTTTATTTTCGATTGAAGCGCTTCATAAGGAGTCCGACCGGGGCCTGCGCAACCTAGTCGATACAATTTCGAAAAACCTGAGTGCGTTAAGGGTGTTAGGCGAGCCCACTGATAGTTGGAGCACGCTTATTATTTATATTGGGTCATCGAAGTTGGATTCCGTGACCGCGAGAAGTTGGGAAGAGTTCCGTAGCAAATTGGAAACGCAAAGTTTGGACGACTTCTTCGATTTTCTTCGTAAAAGGGCAACTGTATTAGATACAGTCTACGCCGCTAAAGCTACAAATAATAATAAAACAGAAAATCGTCAAAACTTTGCGCGATCGAAATCGTTCATGTCTACTTCGCTCGATTCACCATTCCGTGGTCATTGTTTGGCATGTAAACAAGATCATAAGTTATATGACTGTCATAAATTTAAATCTATGTCAGTCGAAGAACGAAACGCTAAGGTGTATCAATGGAAATTATGTAGTAATTGTCTTCGTAACGATCATCTATCTTATCAGTGCAGACTGGCAGGTTGTCGTATCTGTAAAAGAAAGCATAACACTTTATTACACAGGCAACACAAATTACAAAATAACCAACAGTCATTCCTAGGTCAACCATCAACACAACACGATACGCAAAACAACATAGACAACGTAGGTACATCTACGTCTACGTCTACATCATTAACGACTACTACTAACCCGACTTCAAACAATGAGGTTGGATCTAACACTGCTGATTCTTCATCTAATTGCCCCACTCCGGTAGTTACAATGTCTGCTGGCGTCTCAAACTTGGTTCTTCTTTCTACGGCTTTAGTCGAGGTGTCAAACAATGGCAAAATATTTAAATTGCGAGCTCTGTTAGATAGTGGCTCACAATCGTCCTTCATTACGGAGGCGGCTCAAGCTAAATTGGCATGCGTTAAGAATAAAAACCAATATAAACACGTGTCCGGTCTTAATAATGCAACAATAAGCATTGCCGAGCACTGCAACATCAATATTAAATCAACACACAATCAGTTCACTACTTCTGTCAGATGCTATGTCGTTCCCACCATTACTGACAACCTTCCTCAAACAGAAGTACATCTTCCTGAGCTAAATATCCCCGGCCACATCGAGTTAGCTGACCCAACCTTCTTTCACCCATCACAGATTGATCTGCTATTAGGAGCAGACATCTTCTGGGACATTATGGGATCATCTCGTGTGTAGCTCGGACAAAACAAACCAGTCTTACAGGAAACTCTCTTAGGGTGGATAGTAGCTGGTCCCATTGGGGGGAAATATTTAAAGAGTACAAAAAATAAAGTACACTGTCACTTCAGTCGAGACATACAACAACAGCTCGTCAAGTTCTGGGAACTTGAGGAGGTTCCTGTTAGCAAACCTTTCTCAAATAGCGAAGATTATTGTGAAAATCTTTACAAAGAGACCAATCACCGCAAAGCAAACGGTAAATTTTGCGTTCAAATACCTCTTTGCGATTCACCAGATGTGCTAGGCGACTCGTATAATATGGCTGAAAAGCGTCTACACCAAATGGAAAGAAAAATGAAAACTAAACCAGTTTTTAAACAAGAATATACTAAATTCATGCAAGAGTACGAGCGCTTAGGACATATGAGTGAAGTTAGTAAGCCAGAGCGTGGATACTACTTACCTCATCACGCTGTGATAAAGGATAGTAGCGAAACAACGCGTCTCAGGGTCGTTTTTGACGCGTCAGCTAAAACAACAACAGGTATCTCGTTCAACGATATTCAGCACGTGGGCCCGGTCGTCCAGGATGATTTGTTTTCAATCCTGGTACGATTTCGGCAATATAAATACGTTGTGACAGCTGACGTGGAAAAATCGACATATTTTAATACATAGTGATTTCTTATATTTACGCGAACACTACACATTTAAATGAAACTAATTTTACGGATTTTATCGCGTATATTAACTTATTTTACATTCCCGACGTTTCAAGCACTTAACAGCACCCATGGTCACGGGGGGGACTGAGGTGTATGACGTCCCAATGTCATAGTTAACCACGGCTACCTCCAGATTAAAAATTATTAATTTTTGTTCCGATCTACGCAGTATTAACTTACAGTATCATGAAGTCTTGCAGTTGTATGCTTGGGTTGGGATTTAATTTTATTAATTATGGGATCCCAAGCAGATGGTAGCACCCAGCCATCTTCTCTATTGAAATTAGGATGTTTTTTGATTTCAATAGCCTCGCGAATCATCCTTGGAAGGAATCTGTGTTCTTTAGCGAGGATTTGTGGTCTATCAAATCTAATGTAGTGACGGGGGCGATCCTGTACATGTTCACAGACTGCAGACTTCCCGGAGCGTCTATTCTTCACATCAGCTATGTGTTCTTTAACGCGGGTTTTTATGGATCTTTTAGTTTGTCCTATATAAGAGAGACCACATTCACAATCCAGCTTGTACACTCCTGCATCTTGCAGAGGAATATTACACTTGACTGATGGTAAAAACTGACTAATCTTCTTCGGCGGCTTGAAATATGTTTTAATGGAAGCACGCTTCAAGATGTAGCCAATCTTGTCAGTGACACCTCTGACATATGGCAGTACAGCAGGCACTCGCTCGACTGTGGCCGGCTTCACTCGTTCACTGTGACGTAGGCGCGGGACCCGAAGCTTATTGTCGTGCAAAACTTGCTTGACGTGTTGGAGCTCGGCGGCCAGGTGTTTACTGTCACAGATCCGATCCGATCAGATCAGATCGTGCTCTCTGAAACAAAGATTTACCCACGGTAGCTAACTGTGAAGGATGGTGGTGAGAATCACCGTTTAAATATCTATCTGTATGGGTCTTTTTTCTATACACAGTGTGGCTCAAGGTGTTATCAGGATTCCGAATTACTAATACATCTAGAAAAGCTAAAGAATTGTTTGCCTCTAACTCCATTGTGAACTGAATTTTAGAATTTAAGGAGTTAAGATGGTCTAAAAATGCAGTTACTTTATCTAAAGGTAGAATTGTGAAAGTGTCGTCTACGTACCGCTTGTAGAATCTTGGGTTTATGGGAGAAGTAAGCAGGGCTTTCTCCTCAAAGTCCTCCATGAATATATCGGCGACAATGGGAGATACAGGTGAGCCCATCGCCACTCCATCTACTTGCTTGTAGAACTCCTCCTTCCACAATAGGTAGCCAGATGTAAGGCAGTGTCTGAGTAATACTGCATATTCTACGGGCATGTTGTTTTCCTCTAGCCTTCTAGTAACAATCGAGATGCAGTCTTCAACAGGTAGGCATGTGAATAGAGACTGCACATCAAAACTCACCATAGTTTCATTGTCTGCCAGATGTAGTTCTTTAATCTCGCTGACAAAATGGTAGGAATCCTTTGTGTGTGCTCTTGTATGTCCCTTGAGCGGTGAGAGTATATTCGCTAAGTATTGAGCCAATCTGTAAGTTGGTGAATCGATTTGGCTCACTATAGGACGAACACAATCAATCAAAATTTTTGACGAATATGGTAGCATAAATTGTTACAGGTAACACATAATATCAGTGCAATCATAATCAAGACATTAACCTAAGAATCAAACAAGGTTTGGTAAGGTTCAGGAAATGTGACATATCTTTACGTTCAATGAATCTCGGAATTAAAAAAATGTTAATAATATATGAGGAAACAGGGAGAAAGCACATCCATACTGAAGAAGTGAGTGATAGTGTCCCCTCTATCGACAAGCGTGCATGCGTAAGTATAAAGATGTGAAAGAAGTGAGAGTTGTCAGGATCGTACCAAATGTTTGTCTGTAGTCTCTGCCTACCGATGTAGGTAACAGGCGTGAGACTTATGATTATGTTATATCTATGTATTCTCCTACGTGTTGTCCGCAAAGTGTGGCATTTATTGCAAATTATAACAAATATGAGGGGAATTATTACCATAGTTGCCACGCCTGGCAAGCGGATTGGCAACCGCAGGTTTCTTGTTGTAGTTATTGCTGTTATCAGAAATATGCTACTGCCCAACCCCTGGCCCAGTTTCCCTCCGTCGCCTCTTGCGACACCCACGTGAAGATATGGGATAGTGGATATTCTTACACCGCCACAACATAGTACTAATTTGAAAAGTTTCTCGAGTGGCAGCCTCGTACGGTGAAGTTTAGGGCTACCCGCACTAGATGGAATGACGATCTGGTCAGATATGAAGGAAAACAGGTGGCTCAGAACCGTGTTTTTTGTCATTTCTTGGTGGAGGCTTATGTTCAGCACAAGTGAAGTGAAGGGCTGTAATGATGTACTGATAACAGATTTGTAGAAACCGATGTCTCACAACAAGTAGTAACAATATAATGATGCAAATATTCTAATAACAGATATTTTATTTGAATATTTATTGCTTTTTATTTTAATTTTAATTGCCATAAAATAAAATAGTATAATGCTTTATTGAACCGTACACTGATTAAATGAAAAATCTTCTAATAGGTAGCTCATTATTTCACTGTTGTTCACAGTTATCTATGGTACTGCATGAAACGTTTCGCCATTCAGTAAGTTTGTACCGGGCTTTATCCAGCAGCCACATTGTTGCAGTCAGTGCGGTGGAAGCGACGCAATCTGTCTGGCATTGTTTCCTTTGTGTGTCACTTTGATTGTAGAGTAGATGTCGTTAAGTGTATAAATGTTCGCCTTTTTGAATGAAAATTCTTAAATTAGTCATTTCGTGCTTCGTGAAATTGATTGGATGAAAACCTCAACTTATTTTTACAGCAGAAATTTCAATTTAAAAAAGAATTTTAAGTTTGATTCTTCGCTTAACTCTTTGTGGAACCGACTACTATCAGCGATTTTACTGTCTACCGGGCGGGTATGACTTAGGGACCTTCAAAAAAAGAGCCTACTCTTTTTTTTGAAAGCCGACAACGCATCTGTAATTCCTCTCGTATCGCAGTTGTTCATGGGCGGCGGTAGTTACTTACCATCAAGTGAGTCGCACGCACGTTTGTCTCCTATTATTTATGAACATAAAAAAATCTTTTGGCACTTGTTCTAAATACACGCACAAATCCACAGGTTCACCTGCGTCAACCGCTCTTTGGCACCCTATCTTTTGGTAAGTACAACTCCTCGCACTATTCTCTCCTCAGGCAAAGCAAGCCGGAACACGAGGCACACCTTCCTATGTGTACATCCACCATCTCTACCTACGCAAGACTATAGATAATACACCAAGTCCCAGACCAAGTCAAGTTCGTTACACGAAGGCTAGTTTCTTACCTGTGAAAAAACACCTTCATTGACAACGTTGATACGCTCTGGCTTGCTTTCAATCAGATATAATTGATTAAATATGCATATAGAGAGTGAAGCCATTTTGTGGAGCACAAGTTGGGGGATATACGGAGATAGGAATAAAATGCCCATAGATAAAGCCATGAAACTAATTTCTTTATTATGAAGAGCAAAGGGATCTTATACGATAAAATATTGTATATTCCTTCTGCGTCTAAAAACTGTTAGGCAAAGAACTCCTTTCATTTAAGAGAAGCAGGGCAGTTTTAACAGTGGTAGAGCCACGCGGCAGCTTTTTCTGTCGCACGGATGGGCCGGCTTAAACCGGGGTGGTACCACAACCTCACAGAATACCAGCGTGAAGTAGAGGCTTACCTCTGAGTTTCGCTTGGTGAGTGCAGGTGGCCGGAGGCCCTTTTTACTGGAAATGAAGCATTCCATCTTGGTCCTCATGGGTGACAAGCATCTGCATTTTGATTTGTAATAGATGATAGATGTAGATGTCTTTGGGCCGCAGCAACCACTTATCATCAGGTGGACTGTGTGCTCGTTTGTCACCCTTATCCTATAAAAAAACGTATTCTCATTTTTAACTGACATCTGCATAATCTACATGTTTCCTTACGTTGTTTAAACGTAGTTACCTTACGGAATCTTACGTGGTAGAGTCACGCTGCATCAATATTTTGGTTGTAGCACGAATGGTTAGGACCACGCTCTCACAGAATACAATTGTGAAATAGCAGTTTAATGCTGCTATGCTTCGTATTGTGAAAGTAGATAACCGGAGACCCTTTTTACTGGTAACCGGAAACTCTTTCTTAGTACTCAGGAGTGACAAAGCGTCTGAACTTTGATACTTGATTGAGGATAAATGTATACGGTTATGGGCCACCGCACTCACTTACCATTAGTTTCACTGTGTGTTCTTTAA